GGTGTCTTGCTGGTTACTGCACAAAAACTCTGAACTCAATTTCAGATGCCCTAGACTCTAGGACTAGAAACTAGGTAAAAGTCAAGTTAAACCAGTTCAAAATACCCAGAAAGGAAAGCCCCTGACATGTAATAGAAATAAATTACAGATATCCTCACCTTCTCCTACTTTTCCGGCAACTCTATCAGCCAGTGTGGATTTAGGAATGTTAGAAAATTGTGCCGCGGCAACAATGGTAAGATTTTGATTGGATACATCACGAACGGCACTGGCCAGATCACATTGCGTATAGAGAGGCTCACTCAGCTTCTTTTTTTTGTAATTCCTTGGCATTTTAGAAGCTAAAACAGATCAAAAAGTAAATTAATTATCAAATTTAAATTGGAAAATTGAATAAACGGAATAACCCCACCGGTGTTTTTCCGATGGGGTAATTCCGGTTTAACCTCAATCTGGACAGAGGTTCATTGATCATTCGAAAAACAGGCAAAATTGTTTATTCATAAACAGAACAACTTATAGAAATAATGGTTGTTGGAATATAAAGATGATTTCTCTTACCTGTAACACTTTGCAGAGACGTTCCGAGTTTGGCGATTTGCTTTTTTTTTCGCACCTTTACGACCGATCTCCTTATCACGCGTAAAAAAACAAGAAATGAGAACCAAATCACTCAGGGTGACCAACTGAACGTTGGCAACAACATACTAGCGCGAAAATTCCCTAACCTCAATTTTACGACCTCCATGATGCACATCCGGAATTACCCCGTGACGGAATTACCCCAACTGACCCTACTTAGTATTGCTGTTACCGCTGGGCCGAAATCGTCGCACTGCGTGCGGGCAGAGACGAAACAGGCGGTAAAAGCGACTAGGTAAGAAAATGTCAGTGTAACATAGAACATTCACTCACTTGGCTCGAAGCAGGAATTTTTATTAAATTAAGGCTGCACCTCAAGCAAATGTAGGAACTTACCATGAGGATTGTTGTGTCTCTCGCCAGAGTCGTACCTATACCACAATTAAGAAAATAATCAAATAATAGCTATTGCTCTCACCGTCGGGCCGAAATCGCCGCACTGCGTGCGGGCAGAGACGAAACAGGCAGTGAGAGCAATTAGGACGAAAATTCACGTAAGATGTAAGTCGTTATGGGGTTGTCCATAAATTACGTAACCGATTTTTCCGATTTTTTGACGCCCGCTTGTAACGCCATAGTCACACTGGTCTAAAAAACCCCAAATTAACCACGTAACATTTTCCTTGACACCGTCCCCCCATTTTCACTAAAATGAAAATCAAATGAGCTTAATAGACACAATTTTTTCATCGAACGAGAGGTAGGGCATAGCCTCTGTTAATTAGAAAGCTCTATGTTTTAGGAGACAAGGAATAATACAAGAATAATACATGAAAATTAGCCTTTGAGCCTTGAAGAGAAGAAAGAAGTCGTAGTCCAGTGTACATACTATTACGTGACACTGAGCTTTACATCCCTCCCCCACCTCTTTTTATTCTGGGTGACGGAATTGTGAAGACCGGCCCTCCCTTTAGAGCATTACCTAGTTTATAGACAACTCTGAAATGAATCAGATAAGTGGTTTATCTCCCGCAAATTTGGAACGATCTGGTGCAGTCATAGAATCTGATTGTGAAGTTTCTTTCGTGTAGATTTTGGAGACCATCCAGGTTGACGTATCATCAAAGAAAACGGTAGAAAATGAAAATTAATATTAATGTTGGCTTCGTCTCAACTCTACAGAATATCTTTAACACCATGTAACTGTTCTACCATGTTGAGCAGGCCCACCAATAGGCGGGTAGTGTCCTTGTGAGATCTTTACATAAACCGTGCGCAAAGTCACTTGGAGCTTTGCGATTGCCTAACCGTCAGGGGCTGTCGGCGGAATTTCATCATCCATTTCACGCCTGTTCTTACTGATTTTGTTGGCACGAATTTGACTACTCATATGCTTTTTTTCCATCCCTCTTTCAGTATCGAGATTATTTGAGTGGAAACTCACACTTGCCGAACCGTCCCCTGCATGACTCACGCCTCCCCCCCCCCCCCCCCCCCCCCCAGGTTTCAAAATTGTTTTTGTGTTCTTTAAGGAAAGATGACCATGCAGTAGTAGTTATTTGATGGATCCTTGTTTTTTTATTTTTTTTTTACAATATATGTTTCTATAGTTCTCCATCAGGCGAAGTGGGGATGCCGCACAGTGGACCGAGACAATCAGAGAGGTCGAGCATGACATTTTTGACTAAAAGTGCAAATTTTGATGTTTACTCCCTCTCATTTTAAATTTTAAGGGGTGCTCTTAGAAAAACATTTTACGAGGAAACCAATGAAACCACATACAGAACCTCAAAATCGTGTACAAACGGAGTTATAAGCTTTTAAAGTTTTCAAAGTTTGGCCGACCTCTCCCATTGACTCGATCCACTGGGTGCCGTTTCCGGTAAAGCTCCGCGAGCGAAGGGTTTCTACTCGAATAACCTCAGATTTTCACAGGGATCGTTCACGTTTCACGTGCACGTGGTCGTTAAAGTATTACGGGTGAAATTTTTGCGGACTTTTCAGCCCCTCCTGTAAACCAAACTCACATCCATTCGAAATGCACTGGAAAAAGAAACACATTGGATCTAGAGTCCAGACTCTTGAAAACATCGTCAAGAAAAAATACTCTTGATTCAATCGGATTTTTGCTTGAATCAAAACGAAATCCGCTTAAATTAAGAGGCTTGGCTCTTGATTTAAGCTAGATTCTGATTGAATCAAGAGTACTTTTTCTTGTCGATGTTTTCAAAAGTCTTAACTCTAGATACAATGTGTTTTTTTATCCAGTGTGCAGTAAGCCTGCAATGACTTGATCTTCAACCTATTTTTTTTTAGAGAGTGGGAACAAAGAAGCGCAGAACTCCCAAGAAGTTGCTAAAACCCAGGTTTTTGGAGGGAAATACAATTTTTTTTTTTTTTTTTTTTTTTTCATAAGGGACGCTTACGATCAGTTAATCTGGTCCTGACAACATCCCACCCCACCTTGAACCCTCGCAATACCCCGGAAGCAAAGTCCAGATACAACTCCCTCCCACCCCTTCTCCCCCAAGAGGCTTACCTAATACTTGAACGACCCCAAATGAAGTAGAATATGATAATTGATGTAAAAAAAATTGAGCTTCAAGCCAAAACTAAACTAAACAAGTAATATTTCAAACTACATGGAGAGAGATGAGGGATAGTAAAAAACTTAATCGATTTTTTTTAAAATCAATTTCCATGTTCTATGCAGCTTAGCCAGCCAAATTTGGCATTAAAATGTGGAAAGTTGCATTTTGGCTGCCTACCCAGCAGGGGCTGTCTGCGGGTTTTTTAATGTACTGCCATTGTGAATCCCGTTTTCTCATCAGCTTGGCCTTGACTTTCTCTCGTGTCGCTGCGTACGATACTATCACCACTCTCCAACGGAAAGTTTTCTGTCAACTTGGTGTATCCTATCCAGCGTGATTATAACCGATCCCAGTTCCAACTCAGTGGTGGTTGAATCTGTCTACTCAAGTTGCTCAGCTTGATAGGATTCGAACCCACCGACGCCTCCCGCCTATCGGCTGCACTTTGCCTTTCCACTTCTTAAAATGGATAATTTGTTTCAACTAATTTTCATCGAGGGATTCTATTTTTCACAGTTCTACTTTTTCAAGCGCGCAATATTGGTCTCGTCACTCACTGCTTACTCCCACCGATTATTGTGCAGTAGAGATGTCGCATTACGTAATAGCAGCGTGGGCTGGCTATTCATGATGTTGGTGCCATTGAATTTTTGTATCCACATCCACACCTTCGTCGAATCCTTCGGAAAGTTATGTAGAGCAACTGGTCCAATGGGTCACTAAACCATGAACGAATTTTGACTTGCGAATATAGTTTTCTGAAGGAAAATGACGCGTATAACGCGATGCGAACATTATAAACGCGAACAAGTAACTCAATTACCGAGAAATGCGCAGTTCAAATCGCTCAACTTATACGCAAATTTAAAACGCCCCGGTTTCGCGCCGCACCGAATGATGTCATCCGGCACCAATCAGAGGCGGGCACCGGTTTCCACGACGTCCGTCAAATGTCTATCTACTCTTCGTATATGAGAACAATACTAAAGTTGAAATTATATCTTTTGAATTCAAGACTAGAATCTCATTCTTATGTTAGCTGTAATAAACACGCAACAACTTTACATTGAAATACGTTTTATTTTAACAAACATCCGAGAAAAAAGGGAGAAGACTACGATATGACTACCACAGTACATCAACACCGTCAGTTTCCCGCCATTCGGGTGCGTTTGAAATGTCTTGCAGTTTTTAGATTTTTCAAAAGTGGTTTTCTCCGCGATTTTGGCTCCATGAAAATGCGGAAAAATCACCACGTTATCTCCTTACACAGTACTTTCAGAATATTCAATAAAATAAACAAGGTTTAGTGACCCATTGAACCACATAATCAATACTTCAGAGCATCGCATTTCGTACACAGCTAACGGTTTCGAGTGAGTGCTTGATATGGTCCACATGGGCCTTACTTTCGAACAGCAGTGTTTTCACAAAGCCATGCAAAACGACTGCCGAGCACTTCATATAAACCGAATCACCCGTTTTTTGGAGCAACGCCGTTTGCACAGAGCTAACAATATCGGAGGAGCACTCAAAATTGACCACATGATTCCTATCTTCGGCCATTATATTTGTTTCGCAGCCCATGCAAATTTGACACGACGGATCTGACCGTCGGAATCCCGAAAAGTTAGCCCGGCTGGGGACCCGAAAACTCACCGGAACTTCAGTATGCGAACTTGATGCCTCCTAACAACAGGATCTAGCGAGTGTTCTTTTACTTTGTTAATACTGCCAGTTAGTAGAGCATCATACAGCTCTGTCGTCAAAAAGTTAGGTCCAGCTGCTCCCTGGATGAGGGCCATAGCCATAAACATACCTGCAAGTTCGTAATCATTCTTGCCTTGCCGAGTAACGTTGCCTGGGCCGTGATAGTTTAATGCTTTCTCTTCAGACGAGCCGACAAAAAGTTTGGAATCTCTGATATTGCAGAGCCCTAAGGTGAAAAATTCTCGAGAGAGACCTCCACCATCAACACCCTTTTCTTCGCGTGGTTCGTCACCAGGCTCCATCCCCATTGTGTCTGTGAATGTTATGGCCACAGGTTTTGTAGGGACCCTTTCGATTGCATCTTCTAGGTCCTTGTATGCCACACTACTTTGACCAGTGATGATATAGTTCATCAATTTTTGACCTTTGGGCATTGAGTCTTCAAACGTGGAGCTTGAGTACTTATCCGCTCCGGATGACAGATAATAGAATTGGCTTCTCTTTTTTTTTAATACGAGCTTAACGTAATCAGTGACATTTTCAATCCCCTGTGGAAAAACATAAAAAAGACCAATTTAGTTTCCTCACATTAAGCGATGAAATTCTTGTTTTAACTATTCCTCCGTTCTCCGACCGTTCCGTATTTCCAAGTGGAATTTTTTACTATATAACGGAGAGATGTCCAATTTCCTCAATTAATCTCCTCGCTTTTTTGAAGGACATATTCTTCACTAAATTTTAACTTTATACCTATCGACAAGCACCCGTTCTGAGTTTTTTTTTGAAAGCCCTCCCCGTCTTCTAATTCGGACTTTCCGCACAATGGATATATTCCAGATTTCAGTTGGAATAATTCAATCTCTGCTTCGACCGACGACTTGCACAATGAAAATATATTAATTTTTTTTTTTAACCATGTCAAGCGAATATTTTCACGTTGTGGATTTTTCTTTCCATTTGAAATGTCGCATCCACTCATTTCTAAGTCACGCATACATGTAACTCTCGATTTCGACTCAAGGTATTTTTTCGTGAAAGGGATATTTCTTTTTATTAAAAAATACATGTACTGATCGTCACAAATAGTGGACGGAATATGGATTGTTTCATTCAAAGATATGTATCCGGGGTTCTCACGTTTTTCTCTTTATATTTTAGGGAATTAGTCTTTTGTCATTCTCACATTACTATTAAGTTTGCCACATGTACCTATGGATGTGTAATATTCGTACATACTGTATTTCTTACCGTTTCGAACAACTCCCTCGACCCATCTGCTCTGATGAAGAACCTTGAGCCATCAAACAATATTTCACCTTCGCGTAGTTTGGCGAGTCTTAGTCGGATATAATCAAAAGTACTCGTCGGAATCATTGACCTTAAATTTCTTCCGCTTGTCACGTTCCGGAATTTCCCATCAAAAAAAAAAGATTCCATATGCTTCATCGGGAACAGTCAGCGTTATTTTCGGGAGGTTTGGTTGCGGCACCGTAATGTCCTTTGTGCGAACACCTTTCCACACTGTGATTGTTTTAATTATAACAATAGTATTTAGTAACAGTAGTAATTAGTTCAATAGTAGGCATCACTCGTTCACGTTCCCTTGTTGTTGGACCATTTTCAGCAATGCTTTCAGACCCACTCACGGAATTGAAATCAGAGATGGGCAAATCCTGAAATGGCATAATAAACACTGTTTTTTTCTTATATAGCCGGCTGAACGTAGCGCCATTTAAAGCAGTCCCCTTAGCTAAAGTGCAGTTCAATGTAGCTTACAGAGCAATTACACATCATCCAATTCCATTATGTCCATGCCAATTTCCATACATGCTTGGAATTCCTCATAATTTGTTACCAAACCAGGCAAATACAATTCGTTAAAACAGGTTTGACTTTTCGGAAAACACAATTCTTTGACGGAAACAGTTGGTCGGTTGAGTCGAAAGCCTAACGGAGGGACATCGCTGAGACCAGTTGCTAGCTGAAGCAAACGGTGCAGATTATGTTACTCAGTTCCATGATCTGGAAAAAAATATTGATAAATTGTTAATAAATATCAGGAGTTTACATTTACAGAAACAAATACAAGCAAACTTGTCAAGAATGGGAAATGAAAATATTCTGAACACATTTCTAAAGAATATTCAAGCATAAAACCTTCTGAATAAACTATTCTGTAACATTGTAAAGTAACTATTCTGGGACTATAACTGTTCCGGGAGTAACTATTCTGCACGGGATATCAACAGTATATACCTTGTAGAATATTCTAACCGGAATTTTTTCAGAATATTTTGGAAAGAATATTTATTAGTCCTTACGGAGCAGTGAAATAGGGTTGTCTTTAGATTTTAATCTGAGAGTGCTTAAGTGATCATTTTGCCACTGTAAACAATTCTGAATAATAAGATTAAAATCTGATACCATTTTTGGTCGTTGCATAGGTAAAAAACAAGAGATTCAGCAAAGGTGAGCTAATGAGAGGTACATTCAGAGACTTGATACCTCAGTATAATTATTGGTAATCCAAGTCCAATTTTGAAACATATTAATTGATAAGATATCCATCTTGCTCTTTCTCATAGCTTTTTTTCTTACTTTCGGCCTCGGATCAGTAACCATTTTAACAACTAAATTCTCAACACCGAAAAATATCATTATTTGTAATGGTTACTAATCCCAGCCAAAACCAAGAATTGAACTTAAGAATGAAGGACACAGCACTTCAGGCAAGAAAAATGAGCACAATGGATGTCTTTTCATTTGTTAAATTCCATCCCAAACTTAGACCAGGATGCAAATGATAACAGCGAGGTAGTTAAATGGTCATGTGTACCTCTCAGTAGCCCACCTTTGCCAAAGAACTTTTTTTTTGCTTTTTCAAAGACAGACAATACCATTGGATCAAACCAAATTTTCTACAGCTGTTTAAAATGGCAAAAGTGATGTTTCGCCTTTCTGCATCGAAAATTGAAATTCCCTATTGTGCTGTACCTTAATAGCAATCTTGATATTCCCATCATAACTTCAAAATCGAGGAGGTAGTTTTTTTGGAAACTGAAATTAGACGATGGGTTTCCTTCTGTGACAATTCCAGGCTTTGACTAAAGAAAGGTGTTGAACCTGACAAGGTAGTGCAATGAAGTTAGAAAACTTGCCAAACTTACTTGAAAGTTATAAAAAGAGGAGAAAAAGGCAGTTAATTCATTAAAATAATTCTTAAATCAAATCCCTCACTAAAACAAAACTGTTAATAGCAATTGATTTCCTGCTATCCATTCATATGTAAGTTGCAATTGTTTACATCTGTTGTCATCAGAATCTACCAATGAGGAAACGACACACCCTCTCTACTCACTGTCTCTAGATACAGCGATAACATAATTGAACTCATTCTTCATCTTTTCTTGTGTTCAACATGTAAGTCGTGTTTCTCTTTTTTACTGAGTTAAAAGCTCTTTTTCTTATCCTTAAAGTAATGTTATTTAATTAATCAGCGTTGCTCTGCATCAACAACTGCTTTTATTGGAGGAATCGTCAACAAATCTACATATGCATCATTATTGAGAGGCAGAAATTTTAAAATTCACCAACAATTATGTTTGCTTCTTTCTCCTAGATAGATAATAGGGAAAAAGGAATTTAAAAAAAAAGAAAAAAAAACATACTAACCTTGAAGGAAGTCTACATATTGTAACCAGTAATTATAAATTACTCAATCGTGAGTTGAGGACAGCTTCCCTACAAAGAGGTTCCTGACAGTAGCTGCTGTCAAGTGAACATCTGGAGAGTAACAAAACAACTTTTTGGCTTGTACAGGATCCTGTTTGAAGGCTGACACGAAAGGAACTTCTTTGTTTAGACCCATTCGAAATTGATTGATGGGACCTTTCAATACTTCAATGCAGTAGTAGTGTAAAACATCTGAGAAAAAGGGATAATAGTGAAACCAACTTATTATTTGGAAAAAAAAAATTGACATTATATTTCTCACTACACATTTCCAGAGATCGATAATCTTCCAAGCTTTCCAAGAAATGCTAGATAGGAGAGAACTTTTTATGAATGTTTGAGTTTGTTTTAAGCCGAAATCATACACTGAGTTTGGCAGCTGAATATGGGAGTAAACAATCATCACTGAACAGCTGAAATTTCGTAAATTCGAGTTATTTTCATCCAGAATTGTATCAAATCTATTTGATTAGTTCAGACAAACTGATAATTGCTGAGGTCTGATCCTCATTGGTATCTTGAATTTGGCGGGAGAAGGGCATAATTCAGGCATCAGACCAATGACTTCCACATTCAAGCGATTCCAGTTTCTCCTAAAATGTTCTCTTGCAATGTTGTGTGATTTGTACAGAATGAGAGAAGAGAATTCGCAGAAAATTTCATCAGTAGAAACTGTTGACTAGTTTTCCTTTGAAAAATAAAAAATAAAGTCCTGGTAAGACAACTTGTCACCAGAAATTGTAACATACTGACTTCACCAGACGACTACCAATCATTAAGGACTCTCCATTTTCCTGCTAGGAATTTGTAATTTCTCTCAAATCTATGTCTGCTGGTCGTTTAAATGAAAAGAATTGCAGCTGAATTAGCAACGGGTCAGTTGCGGTAATCATGGAATCATGTTTTGATGATTTAAGATCATAGATTAGCCAAAACTGATAAGGTCTGATCAAACATTTGGTTTCTTTGCCCAATTTCCGCGGAAGTATGACTCATCGAAAAATAAGACGCATGTCATCCAATCCAGTAATAAGTATATACCACCGTTTTTTATATGATAGTTTCACCTATCAAACACAAATGAAATCAAGTGAAAGAAACCACTATAGCACTATCACAATGAATGATGTTATTCACTGTGTTTTTTGATGGAAAACATCTCTGTTAATATTGGATGTAGAAATTTGGCGTTTGGACTGATTTAATTGACTTTCGCTGGTTTAAAATGTTAAACCATCCAAACACGATCCTGTGACTAACGCAACTGACCCGTTGATAATTTATTGGTTCTTCCATTGAAATTGTAGGTAAATAATTTTCAGTATAATTTTACAAGGCTGTCACAAGTTTTAACACTCCATACACTATTTTGATAGTCTTTTCAGCTAGTGAATACACAGAAAAACAGAGGTAAAGACAAATGGTCTCAGTTTTTAAAGATGTTCAGGGAGACACAGATTTTAATAGAAAAAAAAAAAAAATATTTTAGAGATTAGAAATGACCTTTTATGGCTTCATCCCGTTTTAAAACAGGGTCAGGGCCTATGATTTGCTCGTGGGTACGAGCAGCTTTAAAAATGTCACATTCGACATAAACTGCGTTGATTAGAGCTGATGATTCTCCGCTTTACAAAACAGCCATTATTTGTGAACGCACTGTTTCATTCAGTAAATCATCTAAGGTCACCTCCGTGATTTCTTCGTCCATTAAAAGTTTCCAGAAAATTTCCGAAAAAAATGTAGGGGCTGGACATCCATGGAGTAAAACTAATGATATTATTTGTCCCACTTTAAAATATTCGCCATTTCGTTCCGCAGGTCGAGAACTAACGAATGTTTTTCGGAACTCATTTCCTTCTAAAAGTAGAGATGCTTTCAGTTGTTGTAAAAGCACAGATAATAGCTCCTTTTTAACTCCAGACCCAACACCTTTCTCATTCTTGAACCGTACAGACAAATTTGATAAACATGAAAATTCCTTATCATCGAGGTACGAGTACAATTCATTGAGGGCTGTACTACGGGCTACAACAATGTTAAGTACAGTGGGAGAAATGCGACTTTGGTAGTCCCGTAGGGACTGTTGAAAACTTTTTTGGGTGTTGACATTGCCTTCCGCAATATTATTTTTTGTTATTTCCTGAACGTCAGTAGAAGTATTATCATCAAGGAGGTGTTCATGACCGTCCTCGTCAACCCAATAATAACGCCCATCACGGAACAGTATTCCTGGCTCTTGAGTCGACGGAGTGTTGACTTGAGGCTTTGAGCCATGCGCTCGTAACTTTTTAGGTACTGATACACAATCATCTGAACGAGATACTTTGCGCTTTGAACTACCAGCTGCAGTTTTTTTAGGTAAAAATATGGGATCATTCAACTTATCCGAATCTGACGAATCAGAATCTGATGAATCAGATGAGGAATAATTCTTTTTCGGCCGTACGTATATGACTGTCCGGGTGCTGTCTTTTAAGAACTGCCCGTCGATTTTCACGCCTCTGGCAGTGCATATTTTTGAAATTGATTTCCCGTTAAGATGCACGAACTCAATCTCAGACTTGTCAGGCATTTTGCCTTCAAAGATTCTGTAAAGTTCATTTTTTAGCAGCAATATAAATTCTTGATTTTATAGTAATCATCAAGCTGAGAAAATAGAGCGAGTACATACCTTTCATGAAAGACTTTCTTACACATTGACTGGCCGCATGGTGTTTCTAACAACTTCTGACGCAAAATCAAAGAGACTCGAAGAAAACCAAATTTGAGCTAATACTCATCGTCAAAGATCTCTGATTTAGGGACATAAAGTTGACTTAGTGATTGAATTATACCTCGCATCCCCGCACATCCCCATGATGTAAACAAGCAACGGTGAGAGGCGAAAGCTTTCCAAGATTAGTCATGAAGAACACAAGATCATAATGTCAATAACATACACTTCGGAAAAGCACAAGCACTCCAGAGCACGTAGGTTGAAAGCAAAATTTTAAGCGAATAAATTTTGGTCAGAGCATAGTGACCGTGTCGCAAGTAATGTGATGGGCGAAGGCTCATATTACAGTAATTTTTAGATCTTTTCTTGAGACTGATAGGGTCCACTGAAAACAACTACATCTCTTCAAGATATGGGAACTAGCATTCGTGACTTGAGGAAAACAATAATGTAATTAAAAACTGAGAATAATGGGCTCTCCCTTCAATCCATCGATCCATTCTTTTGCATGGTAGGGAAATATTTGGATGCTGTTAGTCACGAGAATGCAAACTGTGGTGTAAATCCTGCTTCCTTTTGATAGTTTGGCACAACTTTGGTGTCCTTTTATCGACGTAATTTACCTGAATTACATTTATTGATGCTTGGGTCAGACAGGTACACGGACTGATAACCTCACTTCTGAATAAAAACATCACTTGAACATTTTAAGAAAAACTAATGAAATAGTGTATCGGGCTCTGGCGGAAGACATGCGACGTAATAATATAAGTGTGTAAAAATATTAGTTAGCTTCTACAGAGAATTGAACTCCTATATTATAATTAAATCACAAATCTGTTCTCAACTAGTTAGAGTTGGAAGTTGGTAACGAGTGAAATTTCGTTCCCGAAACGTGGGCTAGACTGGCTGAACTGAACGGAATCGACCAATGGCATTGAAGCACTACCAGTTTTTCTCTAAAATTCAAAACATTATAGCTAAAATTTTGAAAGTTATTTGCCGATTCTGAATTATCCGAGCATTGAAACCCCATTAAATGTGGTATAAATGAAATCCTTATATCCTCAAGGAGGGCCTTTGTAGATTTCATTAGAATCTGTGGCCGTGTAAGCAAGAAATCTGTTGTGGAAGGTGATCGTGTCGGTTTCCCGCTACTAAACGGCCCATGTTACAAAAAATATTTGTCATTTTGGGCCTTTAAGTGCTTATAACTTTTTGAAAACTCAATGGATCTTGATGAAACTTTCCCACTTTGTAGGCCCAATTTAGGTGCGTCAGTAGACACCAAGATCGTTGGAATCCGTGCCGTCGTTTGGTCTGCAGTCGATCTAGAGTCGAATCAATTTTCAGAATAAGGGAGTTACGTGTGTCTATGGTTGGCTGCCACCTTTTTCGTTTGGAGGCTTTCCAGTGTTGTCGAGTTTAGACTTTGTCCTTGTTGTATTAGCATACTGATTGCAGCTGAACAGTTGAGAAAACATTAAAACACTGCAAATTTTCGTCCAAGATAGAATCTATCATATCTTTGCTGTAATGCATTAATTAATTTGAATGAAATGGATTGTGGTAACAATTGAAGAACGGTGATAAGAAAAGAATGTCAAGAAGCAGGGCAATAAAATTTTATTATAAACAATATTTTAGCAATAAAATTAAAATATTTCATCAGTTTTATAAAAGAAGGAATTTTCACAGGATGTATCAGAGATGGAGCTAGCAGTACATGATGTTATTTCATGAAGAGTCAATTGGAGGGTCAGTCCATTTAAGATTTCATTTTCAGAATCAGACTTTCACAGCAGTTGGAAGTCAGTAAGTGACTTATATATAATATTTTTTGGGACCTTTGAACCCCTCAGAATAATTATTGGACAGTGGCATAGCTCTTTTCGGCACCATTTTTTTTATTTCTTGTGATTTTTGAGAGTTTTTGAAAAAACTCATCATTACCGTAACCTATTTACTTTGTTAGTCCAGCACACGCTAAAGAAGTGGAAACTGATCTTTTTTATTTTTATTGTTTAGTTTAAAGTCTGATAGTTCGAAATAAATACAAATATTTGGATAAGTTATGATTAAAACTTTTATTTAAACAAATTTCAATGTCTTATTTTACTCAAACGAACTGTGTTGAGGATTGACTGCATGAAGTGAATATAATTAGAATTTACAGTCTGCTCAACAGATGAATGAGACCTGCTTCACCGTTACATCCATCATCCAATAATGGGTCTTGCACAATGGTTCGACAAAAATCGTAAAACATCGAACTATCTTCATCATTGAACCCATCTTCAATTTCTGTATCGGATGTATCGGATGCATCAAGGTCGTTCATACCGTGGTAGACAAGAGGAACGTTTGGATGTATAACAATTCTGGTGTTTTGATGTCACCTTTGACTGTCCGTAGCTGATGAAAATTCCATGTATTCTTAAATTCTTCCAAGCTACGCTGAATACGGGGTTTAAAGATATATGCTACAGCCTGTATATGACGGTAATTATCTAAGTTTAAAATCCCATTTGATTGTAAATGGTGAAGCAAATTTTTGTACCGCCAAGTGATTTTATTCACCTCACCCCACAAGCGCTCAACACGCACATTATGAACTGATCTTCCAGTTATGTAAGCATTAGAGTCAACACCGCGATTCTTTAAAACAAACTTGGCTACTTTTTTGGTTTCTAAACCCTTGTCACTCCTAACTTTAAAGGGAAATCCAAACTCCTGAACGCAGCGTCTGAATACATTAAGAACTGTATGGGAATTTTTGTTAGAAGAACAATGGATGTAAAGAACTTTTCGGCTGTAACCATCAATGCAGGCATGAATGTATATTTGGTACATCTGTAATTTTTCATTTCCATCGACGTGCCTGAAATAAAAGAAAACAGATACAGTTTAAATGAATACGCCAAAGCGACAAACATGTTTATTTTACTTCAAATTACAAAGAATTATGACCAGAACTGTTCTTCATGTGAATCATACATTCTCTTTTACATTAAAATTCGAAGGGGGCTACACGGGATGAGGAGGNGGGGGGGGGGGGGTAGTGCCTACACTCTATCAACTTGGAAAAATTGGTAATTTCGAGTTTGAGAGTTTTTTTTATGTACTTTTTTTGCCCATTTGTGTAATTGTGACCTGGTTAATGTAACTCTTTAAGAAAATTAGGAGGAAATTAGCTGAAATGACAAAATAATTTTCTTTTTTACTGCATGACAGGGAAAACTGTCTGTGATTTTGAGAAGATAGGTAGGTCTAGATGGTAAAATAATAATTATAATTTTAATTTTTAGGTTTCGACACCAAATTATAGACGTTACTTTCTAATCTCACTAATTTTTTAGAGAGAGTAAAAATCTTTAAGCTATGTCTGTTTTAAGTTTTTTTTTCTTATTATATTGACTGTTCAAACTGGACGGCTCAAAAACTTTAAAATTTTTTTTCCTCTTGACCATATGAGGCTTTCTTGTTTTCCAACAGCTGTTGTCAGTAATGTCTACAGTAAGATCTGATTGCTGCTGAACCATGAACCCAGTTAACTAAACCACATACGACTTTAAAACATACTTCCTATTAAAGCACCTTGAATCAAGAGTCCTGGGTTTTTGCTTTACACAAACAACATCAGCAGCTCCTCCTCTCACAGGAAAACATTAGGAAATTAAATTTTTGGGAGTATTACCAAAGGTAATTAGGCCCAGGAACAAAATAGGTTCCTCGTCGTGTCTTCATTCGTCGTCGGTAACAAGTGCCCACAGGATCAACTGCACGGAGAGTTTTCCTGACTTTCTCCTGAGTAGTATTTTTGCCAATTGCTTTTAAGTGTCCTCGGACATATTTTTCTCCACAATTAGGATTCTCTCCTTTTAAATGAGTAACAATGGTTGTAAGTTCATCATCACTTATATTTTCATCTTCCGGAATTAAATGAACATGCTTGTATAAGGTTGAGCGTGAAATTCCCAGGTAACGTGCAATGGCTGCTCTAGTCATACCTGAAAATAAAAACAAATCTGAGTATATTAAGAAGTCACAAGTGTGAGAGCTAGAACATCACTGACATTTTTAGCAAACTGATTCAATCGTACAATTAGTGCTAAAATCATGGGTCAGAGGAAAGTTGTCGATTTCCTGTAGGAAAACCACACTTGAGAAACGTTGGGGAGCTGTTTTGGCAATTCGCTCCGTCAGGTATTATGAGCCTCCATAAAAAGGTCTGGTGGACTATCGTTTAAAATATACTTTTTTAAGTACGCATTAAAGTAGTAAAAAATGCACTTTATTTGTGCCAAAACCCCGAAACTAACAGCCAAAGGTGAAAGGGGTTTCAATGGTCAGAGGGGGTTGAAACTTGACACACATCGTCAAATACATCCATGAATGAGGGAAACACGGGGGAGAAGGAAATGAATACTTTCGGTTTTTTCAGACGACCCAAATCTTGGTCCTCAAATCTATAGGTTAGCAGGCAACGCTGGGAATTGTTTGCCCCAGCATTTCATTTGCTTCTTAATTTAAATCCTAGATTATTATTTTGAAAAGGAAGATTTTGCACGCACAACAATTGTACCTGCTTTTCGACATTGAGTAATGTGATCTATGTTGAGCATAAATTCAGGTCGACCAGGTGAAGATGACATTTTTGCTACAGATGCATTTTGGTTAACAGGTCTTGAACTAGAAGTTGAAGCAGAAGCCGTTCTATTGGATTGTAGGAACTGAGATACAAATAAAATGAGTCGAGATAGCTGTTGTTTAAGTTCCCCTTCAGTTATTGCATGGAAGATATTATGCAGCATTCCTGAGTATAACTCCAGTTTGGTGACAGACAGTCTTAACATGGAAAGATCTCCCCTCG